ACAGTTATCATATGACGCCCTGCAAGGGCACAGCAACTTTAGAGGGTTCTTATCTATTTAATTAAAATACATTAAAATACAATTGCACAATATAATTTATAAATAAAGATTCAATCATTCTACACAAACATTGGTGTCAATTGTAGCATGACTGTTTACTTGTGTTTGTACATAATTATCATCTGCTTATCGCTTTTTTTACTACTCAATTAGATCAGAGAGGTACCCCAAAACAACAAAACACACATCACCAGCCTATTAATGTCCCACTGCTGGGGCACAGGCCTTCCTTATGGATGGAATAGGGAGATTGGCCCATGACCCACCATGCGGGCCCAGTGTGGATTGGTAGGTGCTAACGACTGCAGATGCAGCCGGGACCAACGGCTTAATGTGCATTCTGAAGCACGGAGGAGCTCGAAATAGTAAATTTTTGGTCACCCATCCAATGACCGACCACTGCAATGGCTGCGTAACTTCAACGATCGCATCCCAACGCGCTAACCACTTGCACCATCGAACATCAAAACACTGCAATACATTTCGAACGTTTCACTTGCACACAATCTTTATTCATCCAGATAACTTATAATTACTTTTAACTCCGAATGATGAAAATGAAATGAAAGAAAAAATCTTTATTGGCCATCATAACAATAGCATATAATAATAAATGTTTATTGAATATCAGTTTATATGATACAAAAATGAAAGTTAATCTATAGACGGCCAACCAGGACCCTGCCTCAGCATAAGATGACATAGTGCGGAAAGAAAAAACTTCGAACGGCGGCGATCTTATCCCTTCCCCTCTTACCATTATAAAAATGCTTCTAACAGGATTCTAATTCGGGACCAGTATTCGGACAGCAGTACTCTTAGCACGAACCAATATCAAATTCGTAACGTTTGAGAGTCCGAAATGTCATTGTCAAAAGTGTACTGATTTTTAGTTCTCGTAGTTTTCATACAAAATTTGATAATGACATTTCGGACTCGCAAACTTTTCAAATTCGATATTGGTTCGTGCTAGGGGTACTGTATTCAGACAGCAGAAGTACCGTTGCCAGTTTAAGCTGCGTGGCCTACTAACAACAAGCTACGATAAGTGAATATCAATTGCTTACACACAGGTCAAGTTAAGCTACCAGTGCAAACAATAGCAACGTCACAAAGGAAGTCGCAAGTTGAATTTAATTAAAACTTTTGCCGGCTAATGGCTTCTTTGTCTCTTTTTTGCTTAACGCTCTGATGCGTTACATTTTTAACTTATTTATTTTCGTTTATCTTCTTAAAAAGAAAAGATTCGTTTAAACAGGGCTATACCGCCATCTTATAGAGAATCTAATAAACAATAAATTTTTATTCCATTTCATTTATTCATAAACAAAATTACAATAAGACATAACAGTCACCCATACTAGGCGAAACCCATCCTATGGGGGAAGTAAAAAATTAACAATATATAACTTACGGCCTAAAAATACAAACAACTTAAAAGAATGGATACATTGGTGATAGTACGCGCGTATGTTTGTATGTATGTGAGTGTTTTGTGTGTGTGTTGTTTGTGTATGTCTATAATCAACTTATTATCCTTAAAAGATTCTCTGCTCTGTCATACGACCATTTTAATAACATTTTTGAGATGTTATTTCGCATCTCCCGAAATAATTCTAAAGTTTTATAATAAGTACGAACATAACATATATGCGTAAGAATATTTACCCACTTGCAAAAATAATGGATTAAAATATTGTATTTCAAAACGTAATTTTGTAAAGAAGACTAAGGTCCACTTGCAGCAAATTTTCTAAATCTCGGTTTAACTGAAATCAGATTTAGGTTAAACAAGAATGTCAAATTGACACTGACGTTTGGTGGGTAAGTAAGTTAAGTATAAGCTCATTTAAGTGTGTTGTCTGTGTATGTGTTTTGTAACAACGTAACAGTAGTATGTAACAATGTAAAAAGCTCAAGGAAGAATGGTGATTGGGATAAAATATTAAAACTTTATTTGTATAAATACCGAGTAATCTCTCTCATATCGTGTCTCTCTCAATACGGGACATTGGCGAAATTTGTGTGTAAAACGGAAACAGAAACAGAACAAAAACATAAATTATGTGTTTGTTCTATCCAGGCTGAACTGAACAATTCCGGCAATATATGTGGAAATACCTACTTTTGTTATGGATAAATGTAAGAAATATTAACCATAAAACGTGTCTTATGATCATTGAGTTTTCCTCCTCAGAACAAAACATGTTAACCAAGAAATCTAATAATTATGACTTATTAATCTAAGTACCAATACGCTGACTAATGAATACAGAACACCACGGCATTATCGTGCCAGCACTGTGTAGTACTTCATCTTTACAAATATATACTAATTACTGTATATACTATAAAACTAAAGAGTTTGTTAGTTTGTTTTGTTGAACGCGCTAATTTAGGTCTGATTTCAAAATTTTCTTTTGTGTTTGATAATGCATTTATCGCGGAGGCTATATATAGGCCATATTACATCACGCTACAACTAATATGAGCGGAGCATCAATGAAAAATGTTGCAATAATGGGAAAAATATTCGTGAAGTTTGCGCTGCATACGGTAAAAGTTACACTTAAATCATGTATGACAAAATTGTTCACCTTTAAAAGTTCTATAAAAATAGACCACGACAGCATATGTCTATTTTTTAAGGGTGACCCACTTTAACCTTTATTTTTTAAATTAATACTATTAAAATGGAATGATAAAGACAAATCTTTATTCAATCCAGACGACTCCTGCCGCGTCAGTGGTGTGCTATGCATAATTCTATACAATCACTGTTGTTAAGGTGTATATTATGATCTTTTGGGGTCTACTTCTGTAGGTAGATATTAGCAATAACAGGTATTCGAAGCAAGTACTGCCACGAAGTGAATGGAACATAAACGTACTATATTGGAATGGAAGCGCAAGGTGAATGGAATGAGAACTCTTTATGTGCCTGACCTGCATAAATTCAATATCCAATAAATTGAGAATTACCTAAGTATATAATGTTACTGAACTAACATCTTCACAATAATTTGTATTTTTTTAAAAATTGATGATTGTTGAAGAATATGTAGGCAAAACAGGTATTTAAAATACATATTCTAAAAACATTGAGAGTCCAAATAAAACTAAACAAAACATATAAAATTGAATTAATTAGAAATGGCTGGCGGAATCGCGTTTGATTGTTTGGTTATTTGAAACTCGTTGTTGTATCTGTGTATTGTTTTTTTTTTATTTTCCGATTGTGATTTGAATCGATAGAATAGCATTTGATCGTTCGATATTTGGATTCGAGTGGCGACTAGGTGGCGGTGTGTCTGTGTACCTCAAGGGTTGGCGGGAGGGGCGAGCCGTCCAGGCTCCCGCCGGAGCTTACGTAACGAGGAGGAAAGCGGATGTGCCGCCAGGCTTGCGTCCTCTCGCTCGCACTGTGAGCCGCGTCCACAGTGGTGCGCGTTTTCCTGGGTAATTTTTGTTATGGTGGTGGTGTTTTTTTTATACAAAAAAAACACCAGTAGAATTGGGAATAGCACTTTCTTTGGAACGATACTAACCGTCGTATTTAAAAACAAGTAAAAATAATTACTTTTTTTTAAGTAAACACTCGAACAACATTTTTTATTTCATCTTAAGAAATTGAGCAAAGTAAGAATAATGAGTGTTCCTATAATTCGTGACATTAAAGAAACGAATCGAAAATGCCGACGCAAAATATTCTGTGTCTCTCTCACATTACTATGGATAGCATGTGCGAGAGGGACAGAATGACTTGAGTTTTCATTTGCGATTCGTTTCTTTACTGGCGCGAGTTATATCCAAGTAAAAGTCACCATTTTCTTTTCTAAGTAACCATTTGTTTTATTGAAGCAGTCTAGTGTCAAATAATGACTTGGTTACTTAGCAACAAAGTAATTACTTATTCTTGTTTATAAATACGAGTTTTAATTCTAAAGAAAATATAACTAGAAAACAGCAGCAGTTACATGCTTTAAAAATAATAAAAATTATAACGAGTTTTAATTGTTAATAATATACGTATGAAGAATTAAAATAATTTATATTGAAATTTACAATACAAATTACGAATTGAAAACTAAAACAAGAGAGTTTTTATTCGTTTCTAAAAAGGAAGTAGCCAGTATCATACAAATCTTTATAAGCGATATTTAATTAGGGATTTAGAAAAAACCATAACATTATAACATAGTTAACTGATGAAACTTGTAAGTTAGGTACAGCAGAAAAGAACAGTTAATAGTCTTGATAATCAAAATAATATTAAACCTCTTAGAACTCCTATTCAAAGATAATGGTATGTTGGTTTTACAATAAATACTGGAAATGAATTATTGTTAACTTTATATTTACGGTCTTTAGACTGAATTTCATAGTTGTAAGTTAAAGTAAATAATGTTGAGTATTAGCTTATAAAATGAATATAAATAAATTGATAAATATTCTTACATTCACACCAATTAGCCTAGCCCCAAAGTAAGAAATGTAAGGCTTGTGATATAGGGCCACGATTACAATACAATTACACATACATAAATATACAAATATTACGTAGAAGTGTATGAAAAATGGTATGAGACAGGTACATATGCTCGTATTCATTAAACAATAATTTGCCCTAACAGGGATTCGAACCCTGAAAAAAGGAAGACGCCACTTTGAAAACCAGTGTACAAACTATTCTACCAAGAAGTCGTTAATGATATAAAATTATTCTAAATTATATAACTGTTAGTGTTATAGCTAAACTATTTAAACGAAGTTATAACAGTAGTTCTGAAGACATTTTTTTAAGACATGCACAAAATTATTAGGTAAGTGCGACCAAACCTTGAATAGAAATTAACACGATGCCGGAAAAATGCTACCATGAAAGACACGCCTTTACCACTGCCCCGCACATGTGCCGATTGCGCTGACATTTACGTAGTGCGCCCCGTGCTGCCGCGTAGACGCGCGCCTTCAACGCGCTTTCGTTAAACAAAAAAAGAAAATACAGTTCGAATTTTAAAAATCACTGACTTTGACAACTGGAAAATTGAAATTATTAAAAAAAAAGAAGTTTAGTTTTTTCTGTTTCTTTTTGTAGCAGTGTGTTCTAGTTTTGAATTTATTTGTTTGAGTTGCAAGTGCGGATTCTCCACCACCGAGGGTCGTTTTCCCCGGGAGTATTGCTATAGCAACGAATGACGTCAAGTTCACGGGCGGTTGGTGCATTTTCGTTCGATAATGAATAATTTTCGTACGCTATTGCGATAGCGTTCGTGAGAATTTTCACCAACTCCCAAGTCAACCAACGAGGTAAGTTTTGTTTTTCGTTAAAAAATAAAATTTTGTATTTATAAAATCTACAAAATATAAATATAATAATAGAATAGCCGTATAGTTCACTTACTTATTATTTATTTCTAAGCTAGCTCTTATTTTTAAGTTAATTAAATACCTATTAGAAGACACGTTTGTATGTCATCAATATTCAGCTGACTCATTTGAAATTTATTCAAATCAGGTTTTAGTTTATACAAAAAGAGGTTTACGTCATTGTAGAGAATAGAAATCAACTATCTTGTTAATTAAGTTATCTACCTATGTTCAAAATCTATTATATAGGTACAGCGAAAGCATAAATTTTCCAAATATAAATAACAAATATGTTTACAAAACACGTTTGTATTTTGTGAATGAAAATTGTCCTAAAGAAAATGTGAGTTATGATCGTATAAACACTACGACTCTACGTTACCTGACAACTTTACAAATCAGAACGTTTACATAACATTCAGGATTTTACGCATAGCGGAGTTGGCCAACGTTTTATTTCATATAATCAATCTATGGTTATAATAAGTAGCAGAGACAACGCATTTTGATCATAGACAAATATGTTTATGAAGAATTTATGGTTTTACTCTGATTGGCGGATTTGAGTACGGTCGTTACATCTATTGTGGACCATTCAACCGGTTTATTGAATGACGTAGCCAGCCATCCTCTCATTTGCTTATTAGGTTTATGATCTATTTTTAGTATGGCGAAAACTTGGAAGAAGTTTCCTACCCAAATTAAGTGATTCGCCTTCAGGCTGTCGACAATGATACAATGTTGATGTTCTTTTGAATTGAGCCTAAATTGGATTTTAGAACGCTTTTAAGGAGGCTCGTAGGTGGCCCTTGTGGCAGCACTTAGAGTCACCAAATTATTTAAAAGTCTGTGACAATGTCTCTTTTTTTAGAAAGCAATAGGGATGAAGACGGGGTTAAGTAAACGAAATTATATTTACTCCGTTAGTTACATTATTAAAATAAATGATCGATGCACTTATTTTGTCTTTTGTGAATCAACCAAAAAAGTATCCAAAATAAAGCACGTTAAAGATTGGTGCGGGAGGGGGGGTCACGTAACGTCACTTCTAAGTAAAAATTGTAACAAGACGTGACGTCATACGACATTTCAAATCAATAATATGTCTGTGATGTCAATAATTAGGTAAGAGGAAAAAGAAAAAAATACGTGTCCAATCCCTTTTTATAATTCACCTGATAGACGGAAAAAAGAATTAGACCATCCCTGTTGATTGAGACGATAATGAACTTATTAAATTAAATAGGAAATTATGTTGTATTTGAAAACTTCTTTTATTGCAGCCGTAGTCTTTGACCCAACAAACTTATTTTTTATAGATTAAGTCATGAATGAACCTTAAAACTCAACCGAAAACAAGTATAGGTAAGCATCAGTTTAAAATAAAATTTTCAAGCACATATTAATTTTACAACAGAAGCTATTTATTATTAAAGTCAGCGATGGGCGACCTCAATTATTATTTTAACAGATAATAAACATTATTCATTCACGTACATTTCACGTGAACAGACGTTAACTAATACCCCCCTATTAATGAACGCAGAATAAGATTGGATTACTTAATCCATATTTTGTCTCTGTTCAGTGAATGACAAATTGCATTTGAGTGACATGAACAAAAGACGGCGTAATTTGTCTAAGCTTATTCCTTGTTTATTAACAAGGGATATATTTTAATTTTTCATGCGAATAGTTAATATTTATTATGAGTCTATCTATCTATCTATATCTATTATAAAACTCAAAGGTGACTAACTGACATAGTGATCTATCAACGCACAGCCCAAACAACTGGACGGAGCGGGCTGAAATTTGGCATGCAGGTAGATGTTATGACGTAGGCATCCGCTAAGAAAGGATTTTGATCAATTCTACCCCCAAGGGGATAAAATAGGGAATGAAAGTTTGTATGAAACTTTGTCAATTTTAAACCGATCGGGCTGAGACTTTGCATGCAGGTATAAGAAGAATCATAGATAAATGTCATTGTGTATAATACAAGCCTGAGAACAAAAACTGTAGTCTACACTTCAGCTCTACACCGAAGCGAAGCGAGGGCGGGCCGCTAATCGTATATAATGCTCCCAGTTAGGATCCGGAAACGAAGATAAAGAAGAGAACAACTTGCGTAGAGTGGATTCGAAACAGTTTCTTTTCCAGTCTGACACCCGGGCTTTATGTAGCCAAATTTTTATTTAAAGTTTGTGTTTAAAGATTTTTTCATTGATTATATCATTATAAATAATATATATATTACTTGATCTGTTTTAAATTGCGTGGGAACAAACAAGTTGCATAAATAATAATGTACTTAAGTAAGATCATTTGCCACTGCTATATCTATATTCGTACTAATGTATGCTATTACTTTAAGTGCAAATTTATTCGGGGCTGCGACGAGAACTTTTACCAAGGACATCACTTTAGGTGATTAGGTACCCATTTTTTTGCAATTGCAAAGTATAAATATAAAAAATAAACAATTTCAGAATGTACAACACTCATATTAATGACATAGTAAAATTTTGCAAAACATGAGAGAGGTAGAGTAGGAAGTCCTCAATGAGCTGCTTGCCAGAATTATCATCGTTGCAGCAGTCCTGCTGTTGCTGTAGTATTAAGCTGAGGCAGGGACCTAAATGGCCTATCTTGCTTTGTTATTTTTATTTAAATATGTGTTTAAGGCCAGTTCTTTTTCTTTCTTTCTTCTTCTCTCAATGGTGATTCCCAATCCAGGGTCTCAAACACCTCCCCCTCCCATTCCAATTCACATTCCGTGGACTACGGTCCATGTAATGTGTGCTGGAGGGTAGATGCAGAAGTATTATCTGGTTTTACTGGTTGTGGTCCTGCTCCTTTCATCGAGCCCTGGGGCTGGATCTTCTGATACCCTGTTCGCGCTTGTCACAAATCGCTGTTGGTTCAGGGAGGCGTAACACCTTTCACAGATATAAAAAAAAGGTCTCGGGAAGTCCTAAGTCATCAATAATCAATCACATAAAAATGTAGAGTATCAATATATAAGTAAAAGTACAATTTTGCAATAGGTAAGCCAGTTACAGGTGAAATATTACTAACTTTTGGTATTGTTTTGTGTCTGTTGGTGAATAGATACGGTTTCCAGGGTCGTACTCGTAGCTAGGTGGGGACGGGGTCATTATGGGATAATGTCCTACCTTAAAATACCATTGCCTTGCCTTTTAACGGGACGGCAGGCTACGAAGGGCGATACGCTCTTACTTATCCCCAACTAGGGTTGCCAGGTCGACAAACCTAATATCCGGACAGACCAACCAGTTTGGCCCGACATTTGGGTAAAAAGGCAGGACACCCATTATTGAGGATTTGGTGGCTCAGTAATATTAGGTACGACAAAAAAAATATGTAAAAGCGACTGACAATCAACTCGCTTGCGCTCGACTACGTTCAGCGTTCGCTCGTTGGCGAAATATAAAAAGCCTAACAAAACCTGGACAAGCCAGACACTGTTTATTTTGGCTGGACACGCATTCAAAAAACCTAACTATACCCGGCTTCAGAACGCCTGGCAACGCTATGCCCAACCTGTAATTGCAGCTACCTTATCTTAAATACAACTCTGGTGAACAGCGGATGGCGTAGAGTAGGCAATGCGCGAGTAAACCTTTGGTATCACACACGTCTGCAACTAGGCTATGGTAGCACTATCAGGCGGGCCATATACTTGCGTGGCCAGTCACTCGTGGGTTACCACGCCATACCTGCACTCTCGGCACGCATTATGGGGATCTCGGCCACCTGGCTATGGCAGCACTATCAGGCGGGCCATATACTTGCGTGGCCTGTCCCTCGTGGGTTACCACGCCATACCTGCACTCTCGGCATGCATTATGGGGATCTTGGCGATCTGGCTATGGTCACATTATCAGGCGGGCCGTAAACTTGCGTGGCCAGTCCCTCGTGTATTACCTCGCCATACCTGGTCTTTCGGCACGCATTATGGGGATCTTGGTCTTCATAGAGCGTGTCGGATGCACGAGTAATATCTGGTTTTTACTGGGTAGAGCCCATTGCATCAAGCCCTAGCACTAGATGAAATGAGCCAGGAGGAGTCATCAGATATCGTGTTCACACTACTGCCGGTGGTTCAGGGAGGCATAGTGTCTTTTCCAGATATATAAAAAAAGGGTAGGCCATATATTTTTTTCCATTGTTTTTGCACAAAAAAGTCTAAAACATGCAGCGGAACAGAGTTTGAGTGCTTAAGTTCTTCATAAACAAAGAAACAAGGTGGTATCTTTAGTATATGTTATTATTTACGCTAGCTAACACCGTATTTAGTCCAACGATCACATTGTCAACAAACAACCAGAAACAAATGACAGCCGATCCAGAGACCGTGTTGAAAGGCACGACCCGTGAAAAAGTACACATTACATTTAAGACGCTTTGTTATAAAGTTATTCAAGATATATACGAATGATCTTAGGTCATTGGTTAGTTATATGAATCGTATGTTGGTCGTACAATAATCGTGCTGCTATGAAAATTTATTTGAAATGTCTCGAAACTGCGAAAAAATAGCACATTACACACATCAAATTACTCTCATAGTTTTATCTCAAGAAACACAAGAAAGGATGAAAATTTTAGATTATTTATTACCTGTGTTGTTAAATTAGCGGTCCTGGTCTTACGTTAGTTTCCTTGCCGTTAATAAACTACTCGCACTGGAGGTAAAATATCTTCCATGTTGCATCAATCCATATATTTCTGCCATTCCTTCATTTATTTTTATAAGGCACAGCAAAGAACCTCGCCATTCCTCAAGCTGAATCCATGAAGCTAATGTGGCAGAAAAAAGAGTTCTTACATCTCCAGTCATACCTTACCGACCTGGTGTTGGGTTTCTGCCAGTGAGTAACGGATCTACGGGGTAGGGGAATGGGTCGGAAAAG